GGCTGCCTGTGTGGTGGGTGAAGAAATACTTCCTTTCGTTTGTCTGAAATCTGCCACCTCTTATTTTCTCTGGGTGACCCCTGGTTCTTGTGTTATGGGAAAGGATCAATAACACTCCCCTACTCGCTTTCTCCACACTGGTCCTGATTTCATAGACCTGTATCGTGTCTCCCCCGAGACATGTCTTTTCCAAGGTGAATAATGCCAGTCTTTGAAATCTCTCTTCATACACAAGCTGTTCTGTGTCCCTTGATCACTTTTGTTGCCCGTCTCTGTACTTTTTCTAATGCTAATATATTTTTTGAGATGGGGCAACCAGACCTGCACGCAGCAGTTGAAATGTGAGTGCACCCTGGATGTATAGAATTATACTCTCTGTTTTATTTTCTATCTCTTTCCTAACACTTCCAAATATTCGGTTACTGTTTTTGACTGCTGCAGCGTCTTGAGCAGCTGTTTTCCATGATGACGCCAAGAAAGACCAATGATATAATAAATAAAAAAGTATTACAAGTGAAATCCAAGCTGCTTTCACGGGATGTGTATTCCCTAGTTCTCTGATTTTTTTTTTAACTTCCCCTTTCAATGGGAACTACTTTTCCTAGAGGAAGGACACATTACAGAAGTAAATCTCCCCAACACCAGTAGAGGGAGATATATAACCACAATAATCACAGCAGAAGGGATGCAGGGGTGTGTGTGGCTATTTGGCTTTGAATGGGGGCAATCTAGTGTATACTCCTGGTGGTTTTTCAAATCTGAAGTTCCACCGAATAGGCACAGCATAAAGACCTTGGGCAGTGGTTTTCACACTTTTTTCCTCATAGCCCAGTTGAAGAAAATTGTTGGTGCCCCGACCCAAGATAGTTTGAGTAGAGTGTGGGCTCCGGGGTGGGGCTGAGGGTGGGAGCTTTGGGGTGTAGGAGGGGGCTCTGGCTTTGGGGGGGCAGGGCTGGGGTAGGAGGGGTTTGTCTTGAGTGGCTCCTGCTCAGCCATGCAGAGGGAGTGCTAAGGCAGCTTCCTGCCTCTCCTAGCACCATAGACCATGCTGCCCCCAGAAGCAACCAGCAACAGGTTCCCAGCCATGGGAGTGCGAAGCTATTGCTCTGGGCAGGGGGCAGTGCATGGAGCCTTGTGCACTCTTCCCCAACCACCCCACCCCCACCACCTAGAAGCCAGGCTTGCTGCCGGCTGCTTCTGGGGCACAGTGCAATCTGTGGTGCCAGGACAGGTAGGGAGCTGCCTTAACACCCCCATTGGTCACCTGATTCCCCTGCAGCAACAAGACCCAGCGCCCGACATTCCACCACCCAGTCCTGTATCACGACTCATCATTTTAATGACCTAGGCAGATGGAGTCAGCTACTGGTTCACTTGGTGGGTGGCTGAAGGACAGGAGCACTGGAACAATTTCTATGTGGGGGGGAGGGGTGCTACAGAAAGCCAGTGAACAAAACCGTATATGGTGGAGAATATCTTATAGCCTCTATATAAAGCCATGATATGCCCACATCTTGAATACTGCGTGCAGATGTGGTCGCCTCAACTCAAATGAAATATATTGGCATTGGAAAAGGTACAGAAAAGGGTAACAAAATGTATTAGGGATTTGGAACAGGTACCATATGAAGAGATATTAAAAAGATTGGGACTTTTCATCTTAGAAAAGTGGAGACTAAGAGGGGGGATATGATAGAGGTCTATAAAATCATAAGTGGTGTGGAAAAATTGAATAAGGAAAAGTTATTTACGTATGCCCACCATATAAGAACTAGGGGTCACCAAATGAAATTAATTGGCAGGAGGGTTAAAACAAACAAAAGGAAGTTTTTCTTCACTCAGTGCAGTCAACCTGTGGAACTCCTTGCCAGAAGATGTGGTGAAGGATAGGACTTTAACAGGGCTCAAAAAAGAGCTAGATAGATTCATGGAGGTTAGGTCCATCAATGGCTATTAGCCAGGATGGGTAGGAATGATGTCCCTCGCCTCTGTGTGTCAGACATTGGTGACAGGGGAGGGGGATCACTTGATTCCCTGTTCTGTTCATTCCCTCTGGGGCACCTGGCATTGGCCACTATAGGCAGACAGGACACTGGGCTAGATGGACCTTTGGTCTGTGCCAGCCTGGCCGTTCTTATGTTTTTATGACTGGGGCTGGGAACTGAAACCAAATTTTGCGCCTTCTGATCCAGAGGCGTAATCCCAGCACCCTGCATCTTCCCAGCCGTGCAGGCTCCTTGCTCTCGGGGGGCCCCGCCTGCATTGCAGAGCAAATGGATTGGGTCAACACCCCTGTTGGGGACCTCCCCAAGATGGACTCCTTACTGCTGTTCATCCAGCCGCCCAGCAGGTGGCACTGGAGCGTCGCACATGGTGGACTCCGTTGGTCCCCGTGAACAGGCTGAGTGCAGTGCAGGGCGTGAGGCCCACGCCCCCCGTGGCTGGCTCTGTGTCCGTGGCAGGGACACTTCAGGCAGCCCCGTGTGCGTATCCGGTGGCACTGCAGATTTGAAACACCAGCCAGGCTGTCCATTTGAGCCTCCCTTCCCAAGCCGAGGGGGTTCCCTCTGCCTGATCTCCTCCCTCTCCCAGCTGCTGTTTGGCCACACGCCACATGGGACTGGGGAGCCCACGCTCTGCCTCCACGGTCTAGCCGCTTCGTCCCAGCCCCATGCCTAGCACCGCCAGTGGGGGGCCCACAAACAGCAACGGGGCAGGTTGTTAGGCTCGGACAGGGCCAGCCTTAAGGCCCATACTCAGGGCGCCGTAGCCAGAGGGTGAGGGCCCCTGGGCATGGGTGTTGCTGGGCAAAGGGGGATCAGGGTGGCAGGACATGCTGGACGCGCAGGGATGGGGTTGGGGGAACAGGTAGGAGGAAAGTGCAAAGGTTGAGATTCAAGGGGCACAATGCAGGGATTAGTGGCAAAGGGGGCACAGGGATTGGGGAGCCCATGGGTGCCAGGGGAAACGGGTGGCACTATGCCCACAGGGGCCAGGGGCACCAAAACGCAAGTTTGCCCAGGGTGCCATTTTCCCTAAGGCCAGCCCTGTGCTGGGAGCCTGGCATGGCTGCATCTGCCTTGGGACACATGGGCTGGGAACACAGGGCCCAGGAAGGTCGCCCCTGAACCAAGAGAGCTGTCAGCTCCGGGGGTGAGAGCGGGGAGCCAGGCTGGCA